AATGCAGAATAGGTTTATGATAGTTCGTTTGCTTCACAGTGAGCGGCAGTGAAGCCTGCGTCTGGTGGAACTTGAATAAGTACCGGGTGTCCCAAAAGTAAGGTCATGATTTAGAACTTAAATATCTCGAAAAGTAAGAGTCCGAATCACTTTCAATTTTAACACGTGCAAGGTACATCCATAAAATTATTTTCTTGCATGCTTAAACCATTTTTGATCATAACTACACCGAGCAGTAGGCATAAAACTAAGAAGGTCGAAATTCAACTCTTAGAGAGGGTCCGTCATTAAAACAAAGGGTAAATACCGCCCAGTTTTCGGCCCTAAGCAGACCCTATCAGCTCGCCCTATCTCTGAACTAATGCTTAGTTTCGCCTCAACCGGTAAAACGTCAGAAAAAAGGTATAATGTACGCACAGGGCATGTATACTTAGCCACCTGTGCTTCGAGGTCCTGAGGACGACAGCGGGAATCGGGTGAAAATAAATCAAGAGAGGTGGCCAAGAGTCCTCCCAGGGGTTCTTCCGCTCGTCGCAACGCAGCTGTGCCGACACCATCAACCAGCAGTGGTTTCAGCAGGATGGAGACTATGCTTGCACCGTCCTGAAGATCATGCATTGTCTCCGAGACTGGATGTGAGATCGCGTAATTTTCAGTCAGGGCAACGCCATTGAATGGCCTCCGCGGTCACCTGACGTTACACCTTCATATTTTTATATATTTTTATTCTCTGGGTACACAACGGAAAGGTTGTCTTTTAGGACAACCCAACGAGCCGGGAAGAACTAAAAGATGATCCCTCCGAGCAAACATAAGCGGCATCTCACCAGAGAATCGCTCCAGAATAGTGGAGGAAGTAAAACGCAGTCTATTCGTGCACGCGGCCCGAAATGGTAGCCATGCAGAAAAGCAGCAAATGCGGGGCTACGAGCCAATGTATTGACTCATATGTATATCAGAATAAAATTTTATAAAATGCTCTTTCATATGATGTCCTATTTATTTCTATCCATCGCGTATTTTTGGAGGTGTGGCCAAAACAAATGATGACCTTACTTTTGGGACACCCTGTATTCATATACGGAGCGTGAGTGCCCCATAGCCCATGCGTTGGTGAGCATATGTTCGATGATAAAGGCGAAGCACCTGTTTGGTACTCATTCGATCGTTCTTCATGGCATCCTGTTTAATGCATGAATGCATTGACCTGGCTATAACTCTATGTAACTGCAGCTTAGCTGAAACAAAGTATTTGCTAATAAATGAATTACTTGTATTTGATAGGTATTTACTGTTGCATAATTATGTGAGGACTGCATGTCTATTCAGCCGACCACGTGGCTTCTTTTGTTGACTCATTAGTGTCCATTGTTCAGTTTGCTTTTGAGAGATGACTCTTGATTAATTGAATTCGTTGCGGTCAGTAGGCAATCTTCAAGCTATCCTTCACGCTCCGAATGAATCAAAACAAGGAACTTCTGAGGATGTTTTTGCATTGTTTACATTCAAGAAAACACTTCCAAGCTGGGAGAGAATATCCGGAGAAATGTCTTGATTGCAATCTTCTCCTTTGTTTACCGATAACGGTACATTTAGGACTGTCCGTGCGCGAGACATTTTCACAATGCAACGAGTTTCACTGTCAGGTCAGGGACACTATAAACTGTTGCAATGTTGGTTTAACTAAAATTTGAATTTTTTAACTTATACTGACACCTTTACTATTGCTTGTAGAGTTTTACTAGTACATTATTTATCAGATACCTGTTTCTTCTAACATTCAGTGCCTGGTTAGTTGATAAAGACGTCGAAAATCCAGCTTGTCTATGCAAAATATAGTTTTGGTTTTTATGCACCTTGATACGGAGCAAATCAGGCATCAAGTCATTCAAGGTTTGCTTCGCCAAGATTGATGACATTTAAATGAATGATCGCCTCACTGTCTTACATGTGTCTAATCAGCCATCATATTCAAAAAATCACAATTTATAACCAATTGTGCTCACCAATTACTGCAATTGTTTGGATGCTTTTCCATCCGAGCTGAAATAACCTGACAGTAGTCCACATCCAATTCGTTTGTTGCAGACCGAATACTGAGCAATGAGCATGCTCAAAACATATACCTAATCAATAAAACTCCCCGATTCGAAGCACACCGCTGCTGCCATCGCCAGGGGGTATGTCCCACAACACCAGCCGTTACTACTGTGGTGTCGCCGAGCTGGAAATGGGTCACACTTCACTACGACGGCTGTCTAGTTGTAACTCACTCTGCAAGTATCCGGTGAGTTATGCACTATGCAGCCAGGGCGTATTTCTAAATTACATACCTGCTGTCACTAATGTACGTTTGTAACGCATTACACGACTGGATTGCGATTAGTTATGTTCACTCGCTGCAGAATGAAGTTCGATGGCTCGCAGGTTCCGGTCAATAGTCGGACATTGTTTCAAACCAATAGTCTGGTAGACAGGTCAAAGGTGGTACGTAAATTCGTCTGTTTGCCACGTCGTTGTATTGAAAGCTTATTACTTCCTCATGGGTTGCACGTCGATACCGAAGACAAATAACCGGATAGGACACGTGAAGTGGACCTACACGAGTGTACTGTACGGCCAGCGACCTGTGCGTGACAGAGGTTACTCACCGTTACCTAGAGAGCATCAGTCATATTTATGTGGTGGCGAAGCCCCCATATTGAAAGCTTATTGATTGCCACTAGATTTTTAAATTGATGGCCCCAGATACCAGTTACGTAAAATTTAATTGGAAGTTGCCACTTCAATTAGACGGTTTAAGTAATGGTCATTCACTAATCATTCAAAGCTCTTCCTGTTCCTTAAATTCGGCAAAATAAACCTAGCCGAATAAACCCAAGGTACACCTTCCTTTGATGTACAAACGAGGTTTCAAGGTGGCCTACATTTCCATGCCAATACTAATCCTTTCTCCAGGACCCTTTACCCTCCTCAAAGCTCGCCCCTTTGGTTCCTTCTTCCAGGCACGGTCTCTCTATCGAGCGCCTCACGGATCTTACCTTTGTCTCAGACTCCTCTCAGCTGGCCTAACGACCTGGGGTGGTCCTCGCCCCCCCCCCCCTCGCCCCCCTCCTCGAGGTCAGTCGGCCAGCCAGGTCAATATTGCAGCGGGGCCGGCGACGTGCACGCCAGCACGCCAGCACGGCGGTACGGCGGTACGGCGGCTATCGACCACTCCCGAGTCCCCGACCTCCACGGCCGTCCGTCCTCCACCAGCCCCGCGTCCCCCGGGAGGGTTCCGTCTGCACGGTACAGCTACACTTACTCTACACCTCTACATATGTAGGGAGGTAGAGTATTCTCAGACGCACTGGTATGGATTAGAATACAGCAGAAGGTGCACCCGCGGGAGTCGGCGTGACGTCTGAGGGAAGCCTCAGACGCCGGGAAACTCAGCTCAGCTCAACTGGAACTCAACTCAGACACTTGTAGCTGACACGCTGGCGGCCCAGTCAGGTTCTCTGTTTATGGCTGGTGCTCAGCGTTTGTGAGAGCTGGGACTGGCAGAAGGTGAATGGAGCCCTGTTGGCATCCTCGGGATGGCGTGGTTGGTGGCTGTTTCAGAAGTGGGAAATTGTTTGTCATCAGGTGGGCGGCACGCGGCGATACGACGGTATGTGTGGGAAGAGCGGTCATCTCTGAGAGAGAAGGTGATGAGAGAAAGGGAAATGGGAGATAGCGGAAGGTGCAAAGAGGAGGTAGGGAGGGAGGGAGGAAGAAGGTAAAGAGAAAGAGAAGGATAGGGAAGGAGAATGAGGAGAAAAACAAGAGAGGCAGAGGAGAGGCAGATTGGAGAAGAGAGAGAGAGGGAAGGAGAAGGAAGAGAGCAGAGGAAGACAGAGAGAGGGGGAGGTAGTGAGAATGATGGAGGCAATGTGCCACAAATCCATATGTGACAGCGACTAGAATCCCCAGGGAAATCGAGAGCAATCTATTCGACCCGAACCGCCACAAATGACGCAATTTAACCAAAAATTCGCAAGAAGAATCGGCAATGAGACACTCGTGCTCAATCTGCAACAATGTATGATTTTGTATATTGCATCCCAAACGTCATAAAATCATGAGTTCTCGATAACTATGTAATGAGGCACCAAAGGATCTAGAAAAAATCAGTGTAATTTTTGCGAAGTCTGTGTACCCTATATATAAGTTAACATCGTGTTAATAAAAACGGCCTTATATCTCGTTCCATTCTCCTATATTTGCCCTCCTACATATCCTCAGCGGCGTTTCTTTTCAGCTGGCTTTTGCCTCTCCGCAGAAGCAGCTGCGTTTTATTCGGGCTCTGTTGCGCGGATCGTATCGAGCTGGCTGCTCGCCTCACTGGCTCCATAAGCTGCTTGTAAAGCCGGAAAACGGTGAGCTTTCTCGGCACTAGGAATGTTGCCGTCATAGCGCCGTGTGGAATGTCGACTGAGAGAGAGCATTTCTACAGCCGCGCTATACAGCTGATTCGGTTTGCGACGTTGACACGAGCTGCAATGAAAGGAAGGACGCTGGAAAACGTGAAGACGGAGGGAAGGACGGAGAGAGGGACGGAGAGAGAGAGATAGAGAGTGAGAGAGAGAGAGAGAGAGAGAGAGAGAGAGAGAGAGAGAGAGAGAGAGAGAGAGAGAGAGAGAGAGAGAGAGAGAGAGAGAGAGAGAGAGAGAGAGAGAGAGAGAGAGAGAGAGAGAGAGAATAACTAAACGGGAGATAGAACATAAATGGGAGGAAAGGCTTGTCTCAGATGTGTTGAAGGAGTTATAATAAAAAAGACGGAAGAAAAAAAGCAAATGCACGCACTTGATAAGAATAGATGCTTTCAAAAACTTTTTTCAGTGTAAAAAAGCTTTTTCAGTGTAAAAAAGCATTTCGCTTTTTCATTTCCGGTAACATAGAATGGCGTCCTCGTTTGTGTATTCATTTGGGTTTACCCGGGAGCCTTTAGTGACATAACCCGTCTTTTGTTGCAGAACGGCGAGGCGGGTTTCATCTCGGACCTGAAGGCGGGTGACCTGCTGGGCCGCACCAACGAGGAGCTGGTGTTGCTACTGATTCAGCTGCGACGTCAGGCTGCCGCAGCCGCTGCCGCCCGGGATCGCGTCAGTCGTCAGCTGGACAGAGCGGTGAGTACACTTCTGAATTGACCTGACCTCGACCTGAACTGGCCGCTGCCGCACGGAACCGTATCAGTAGCCAGCTCGGCAGCGTTTGTTGGTGGAGTTGACTTTGAAAACTGACCTGACCTGGACGAAACTGCAGCCTCTATCCGGGTCCGCGTCATCAGTCAATTGGACAGCGCGTTATTGACTTGGCTCTCCTGACCTTGAACCCCAACTTCACCTGACCGTGACCTTGTCTGTGGATCTAATCACGACCGTGACTCTTATCCTTACTCGACCACAATCCAACCCTGGCCGGGCATTGATCCTGATCCTGATCCAGGCTATAGCTTCTGATCCCCTGACCCCGCCTGTTGCCGTTGATGATGCCCTGACTCGACACGGGTCATATCTAGTATACCCTTCGCGCAACGGATCCAATCAACTACATGCATACACAATACACATTGCATGAACATCTGCTGCATCTGACCTGAATCTCCTCTCAGAAGTCCCAAGAGAGTGCTGGAGCAACTCGCGTGAAATTGCACCGATGCATCATACCGAGCAGAATGTGAAATGTCGATGGAAATCGTCCAGCTTCGTCTGGCACGGACAGACGAAGCATATACAGACGAAGCATAGCTGATCGAACAACACATTGTTGCCACTTCATCCAACACTGACTGTGCAATAAGTATACATTGAACGCTTTCGATGGCACTCCGCGACTTGAAATCAGCCATGATGAATGACGTTATCGACATCAACAACATTGCACTTCAGCGCTGCTCGTGCGGCGAAGAGCGCGCCGCCTTTCACGCCTGGCTGTATTGATGCTCACATTCCTTTCCGTCCGAGAGATAAGGTTCGGTTTTGTGAGAGCGTCACGGCCGCTGTGCACGCTCTCACCGCCGCGCCGGTCCAGCAGGGTCCGTCGATGTTCCAAGGACGTGCTCGCTGCTGCAAAACGGTCGCAACAACTGCGAACTACATCAACGAAAACCGGCAATTTAAATGCAGAACGATCCGCGAGTGCGATTGCTTTGTCCCTCTATGATTACATTTGGGGCGTATGTTGTTGAAATGGCCAGCATTTCGTGGCAGTTGGCCGCCGCGACAAAAGCTCGCGACGTTTAATCATTATGATGGAGTTCAGCCACATAAATGCGTTTCGGTCTGACCATAACGCAAACAAAACACCGAACGACACTTCTTTAATTGAAACCCGGCGAGCACCAAGCGAAACCTACGAGTACCGGTTGGAAACCGGACTCTGCGCACAGTAGTCCATCGCTCGCGATGACCGCAGGCCAGGGCGACGACCGTGCACGTGCCTGCACTAACTGCACAGAGGCACCACTTTCTCGGCGGCTGTGACTTGCTCCAGGTGCACACTGACCCAGTAAACACCAGCATGCGTTCCGGCCGGCGGGCATGGGACGCGCTGGGGCGTCGTACGACGGACAGGCTCGGTGGCGTCAAGTTTTCACGAGGAATGAGACCAGCGGGTTGGCGACGGCGTCTTGGAGATCCAATGGGTCTGTGGCATGTCTGGCTGGCGTGCCCCGCGCCGCCCGTGACGCGCCGTGACTTGGTAACGATCGCCACGTCTGGAAGGCGTCACTCGCCGTGACATTGCTGCCGTGACGGGCTGGGCGCGTACCTGAAGACCAAAGCAGACAGCCGGCCGACCCCCTGAACCGAGCGGCCCCCTTATTTAATGAACCATCTCTCAGGTCTTCAACCAACTTTGCTACACGAGCGTGGAAGAAGATGTCCCGAGAGAAATCTGCGAAGTTAACCAGATGGAATATTTCTCAACCCTGTACCGAATGGACAGACGATTTGTTTTGCTCGTTTTCTTTGCGCACTGGATACATGTAGATGTAACTGCAGCATGATACAAGACCATATGCTCCAAGTGCCCAGGCGACCTCAATCTGATACGAGACCGACGCGGCACTGCTGGGCTCAAGTTTGCCACATTCAGCTCGCACCATTTCCTGATATGAAGCCCGGGAGCGACTACGGTTCACAGAGGACATCTACCCCCTGCAAGCTGTCCAGGGCGCAATCGGGAAGCGGTCTGGAGTCCGCTGCACCACCTCTACTGGGGTCTCCCAGACTTCCCAGGCTAACTGGGGTCTCCTAATGGCACCCACTCAGCACAGCACACACACGGCTGGCGTGGTGGCACTGTTGACACTGGGTCACTATTTCTGCACCGCCGTCGTCACAGCCGCGGTGACGTGTCGTCGCGATGGCATCGATGCGCTATGATTATGCCATCGTGTGATAGTGTCATCGAGGTCATTGGTGTCATCCGTACCATGCGTGCTATTTGCGTCTTCCGTGCTACCGACGCACCTTCAGTGATAACTGATATCGCTGCCACTGGCAGGTATGTGCATGGCATCGTACTCGTATATCTACGGTTGTAGTCCCCCGTACTGCATGTCGGCTTAGCATGGCCGATACGTTACCACCACAAGTAATTATCCGCATAGCGCATATATCGGCGTAGGCACATCAGGTGACCGCATCACAGTAGCAGATGACAAAGATTGAGCTCGATGTCAGGAGCATCTCAGCCATCATGGGATCGGGATGGTGTCAGTTGTCATGGGATTGCCGGACAGACAGCGCATTGTCGGATGCGACATGGACGATAGATATTCATAGGTCTGGTTCTTCCAGAAGATGGGGCGCTAGGAGAGCTCGGGCGATTCGACAGATACGATCGGAGCTACGGGAAGTTGGAGAGTCTGCAGCTGACTTGATCCTGTTTAGAGACCAAGGGAAGGCATGTATGACACGCGGGCCGGACTGCTAAAAAATGGCACGGAGCTGGGGAGCCGCGGATGATTGGGGAGGAGTGGAGAAGTATAGGAAGGAGAGCTGGTTAGAAGATCTGGGAGACCGGAGAGGTAGGGGAAGTGAGGAGAAGAAGAAGTCACTAGGGAGGGCAGAGATGGGAGGGTGTAGACCTAGGGGGAGGGAGCTGCCAATAAGCGACAACGAGTGCCGTCGATGGCGCCGATGGATTGGAGGGGTCCCTCGGGGCTGCGACGGTAGCCATGCGCCGGAGCGGTGCCTCCCCTGACACCGCCGAGTACGATACGGAATTGTGGACAGGGGAACGTACTGTAATGCCTACTGGATCGAAGGAGCCTGCTTAATATCACACCATGGGATCGTGGTTGTCTGTTAGGAGCAGTGGAGTGGCTGCGATTTTGTTCTCTAACAGTACCAATAAAACTAATTGCGAACACTGAACAGTGTTTTATCTCACTGCATGCTGTTTTAAATAATAAAAAATAAATACAAGTTCCAGTGAATTCATCATCAGCCGTATTCCAGGATCTCCATACCAATCAGCTCACTGTCAGTCTTACTAAGTGTCATCGGCCTGTCATATGAGTCATTAAATAAAACTTCGCTGCATCCGCCTTGTCGCATAAGTGACAAACTTTTGAGGACGATATCTTCATCCAGCTGCGAATTCCTCGTGACTCCGCGATCGCATGAGTCGCTCCGGAAACTACACAGGATGTAATGAACTCATTAGTCGAGCACTATCCTAATTGACGATTTTACGGACTTTATCATGTCCAAGAAAGCGCTAAAGTTTCAACAAGTTCCCTGCACTTCCTGCTGTCAGGGAAGACTGAAACCAGGGTTCGACGGGTTTATTGCTCGGTCCCAATGGCCCGATGAACTTGACAGCCTGTGAACGCGGACCGAGAACTTTGGACATCGTCCGGAGGTGCTCTTGTTGGGTGGTTTCTGAACAGATTTGTACCCATTTCCTTGGGATTTCTGAAGTGCACCAGGTGTGCAGTGGGGAATTGGAAGACGAATAATTTTGCACGCCAGATGTGGCACAACTCGTGATCGAGCCTGTGATTCTACACGTGACCCAACAAGTGGCTGAACCTGTGATACCATGCCCGTGACTAGCAGCGTGACCCCGAACTTCGTGACAGTAACTTCCGTGAGTTCCGTGAGTCTGTCCAATGAATCCTGGCTCATCTTCCCTAAAGTGCCACGGTCAGTGATTTGCCAAACATACTTCACGTCTATTTTGCTAGCGGCTTGAATATCAACGACAGCTTTTCGAAACTGCTGCTAGTGGCTTGAATATCAACGACAGCTTTTCGGAACTGCTCAATGTTTATGGTCCGTTTCTGCGGCAGCGCTCCAGTGTTACTGGTGCCACAGCACTAGTGGCACGGGCCTATCAACATCACCTCTCCTTTCCCTTCGGACATGGAGTTAAATACTAGTTAGACAGGACTCGAGAGATAGCTGAGATCGGTGCGAGTTACCGTCATTACTGGCCTCAGTGTCGGACGTCGGTCTCCATTTCAGTGTCAGTGTCAGTGTCAGTGTCAGTGTCCGTGTCAGTGTCAGCGGTGCGTCATCACCGACGTATGTCTCTCACTGCAGGTGGCGGAGGCCGGAGGGAGCGGACGGCAGACGGAACAAACGGAGCGACTCCGAGCCCAGATGGCCAGACTGGACTCTCAGGTAAGGATTGAGGAAGGAGGTTGTGGTTGCAGTAGTGTATACCGGATGAGGATAAATGAGCGATACATGTAAATGAAGGACGGAAAGACGATAATTCAATTCCACTCAAGCCCTTCTCAGACGACCTGAGTCTTCATTTACGTTGGACTGCAGTTCATGGATCGTTCAGCATTTTAACATCGATATAGCATTTAGCGTTAGACTTTCACCCTTTTCAATATAATCCGACCAGCAATTACGCCTGTCCTGTAATCTGACCCATTATCGCCTGCGTTCTCCAGAAATTGCTACTCCTACACGGCGAGAGCTGAGATTCCCTCCTTCCGAATTCCAATCCATTTGTTTCCCACCATTTCAGGGTGGCAATAAGACATTGTTAGCGTGTAGCCTGAGGCCTGTCGTAAAGCAATCATGACCGTAAGCCATCCAATCCGGGACCGGGACGGCCGCTACCGAGCCAATCTTAGCTGACAGTTTCGGTGGGCTGGAGGGGAAGGGCGAGGAGACAGTTTCGGTGGGCTGGAGGGGAAGGGCGAGGGCGGACAGTTTCGGTGGGCTGAAGGGAAGGTCGAGGGGACAGTTTAGGTGGGCTGGAGGGGAAGGGCGAGGGGACAGTTTAGGTGGGCTGGAGGGGAAGGGCGAGGGCGGACAGTTTAGGTGGGCTGGAGGGGAAGGGCGAGGGGACAGTTTAGATGGGCTGGAGGGGAAGGGCGAACGAGACGCGGCAAAAGGTCGAGGCCCAAGGAAGGGGGATGGTTAGGGGGAGGACATTTCAAATCCGGGTTCGAGCTGTTTTTGAGAGCGAAACCCGCTGCAGTGAGGATGCAGTTACCAGCTACCTGTGGAGCTTGCTAGCAACTCTTTTTACCCTGGTGTCTTGTTGAGAGGGAACCACCCTGTTGCGTCGGGAGAGCCCCGTCCCACTTTTTATTATTCCGCAGCTTACCGTTTCCCCAATGGAGATCAGGGAGGCGGGCAGAATGGACCGGAAACCCATAATGACATGATTGGTGAGATGACGGATCTGCTGAGCTGGTTTATCGGGGCATTAGTCGTCTGAACGACCCGGTCCACATCTGAACGGTTCCCGGGCCCAGTCCATATCCGTCTCATGTGGCCGTCTGGACGCAGGCAATCGGGACATTTACAAAAGGCTCAGATGTGCTCATATCACGACTCAGGGAGGACTGCATGCAATGTTCATCAACTGCATTAAAATATTATTTTGTAGGTATGCATACAATGACTGCGCAAAAGTAAGGAACAACATAAAGTATCTAAACTCAAACCTTCACGAATTCATTTGTAGTGGAAACGGCATGAGCTATAGAGTTCCGATTGTTGTTTTTAACAAGTTTAACAATTCTGCAGGTAAATAAAGCAGGACTGGTGATTAACAGCAAGAAATATCAATCCAGAGCTCCCAAAAATTGTTCAGAATTATTTTTCCATGGTCAATCAGCACATGGTGAATCAGCAATTAAGATAGGGAGATTGTACCCAAATTTCTTATCTCACCATCTACATTTAAAGTATTTTACATGTACCTAACCCTGCCACTGCACCTCGCCCGCGGTGATTAGCGGCCGGCGACTGTGGCCAGCACCAGTCGAGTCCGGTGGGAATCGGGCGTTAGTGCGGTCGACACGGCTATCGCGCTGCACGCGTCATTACGTCCGTCACTGGACGTCATCGAGCGTCATCGGTCGGCGGTGCCGTCATCCGCGGACGGCTGAGATCGATCTGAGCTGACGGTGCCCGTTGGCGGTGTGGGGACGTTTGGGAGGTGTATGTACGTACCGCTGCACAGACCAGGGTGACATCGTGGCATTCTACCAAACCTAGCTTTGTAAGCCGTGCATTTGCAGTGTTTGGTATGCGTTACTGCGTTGCAACTACTGTGCAGAGGTAAGCCGCACAATGCGCATTGTGCGATGTTATTTTCCTGATAGCTATTGTGAATCCCGAAAAAGCTTGTAGCTGAATTGCCTACGCACCTCCCGCGGTTAAGGTTTTATGCCCTAGACTTTGTATCACTATTCAAGATATGGCCACGCGTTGATGTCAATGAATGCCTCGATCGCAACACATGTCATATTGGAATCGGTCGATTGATGGATTCCGCGAAAGTTTAACTTAAGGGTGATGAAATGTCTCAAAAGTAACCGGTCGATGGACGTCAGTTGACCTGAATCTGTTGGCAAAACTGTGAATAAACTGAAATGTAAAAGGAACAAAGTGATAATAACTTCCTGAAAGGAGTATCGTTAACTGAAGTTTGCGGGTCATCAGGCAGTTAATAAAAGAAATAGACTACCCTGCGTTGTGTTAAGTAAGGTCTGTTTATGGTCTTTACTCTTTTAACTACTTGTTCCTTGGGATCCACAATTTTACCAAAAATTTATATTTTGGCATTGTCAACTTCGAAAAAGCTGCATTTATGGTTAGAAAACGCTCAAGGCTTTTCTAGTCAACTTAGCAGGCCTATTTATTATGCCCTAGTGCAATAATTCCCCGACGTAATGAACAATAGACAGGAGTAACATCGATCCAAACTTGGCAGCTGCAGCAGCAGCAGCAGCAGCAGCAGCAGCAGCAGCAGCAGCAGTAGCAGCAGTTTCTCCCCGACAGCCTTCAACGTCCAGCTGCGGCTTACACTCTGCGTCGCACCTGCGCACTTTTTGCCCTTTGTCAGAGTGCAGATTGTCATCGACATGATTTCTAAAGGCTCTGGAATCTGCAAGCCTGAGCTTTGCGGTTGTCTCCCAGCCGCCACACAACGACCTTCCTCTTTTGCAAGCCGACAAAACCCTAACTGCGGTCGGGTCTTGTACAGAGTACCTGTGTCCCGATTATGTCCTCTGTTTCCTGAGAGTTGAGACGGTACTTCACAACTCAGCCTACAACTGTGTGTGGAAGCATGCCAGTAGCGGCGGAACACCTTCAATTAAGGGGGGGGGGCACTGCCGACTTTTGGTCCCATTCTTTCCATGCAACGCCCATAAATGTTAAAATGCCAAAATCAAAGGGGGGGCACGGTGCCCCGGTGCCCTCCCCGTTCCGCCGCCTATGAAGCATGCAGAGCCGCTGCACGCTGAAGCCCGGTTCAGAGCGTATCGGACCGATGTGATCAATAGCCGGCGTGGCCTCGGTGGCGGGTCTCACCGTGCACACGCGCACATACGCATACGCTCGCACAAACACACTTCGGTGAAGTTCCGCACCGTACACAGGGAATGCATAAAACTCTGAAACTAGGGACCGAGACTTGCAGGTGATTTTTCACTGTGCTCTTTACCATTCAGATTTCAGTACCTACCCACGAAAGGATTGGATAAGCTGTAAACCTGCTTTAGGTAGGTAATTGCACAAAATTCATGTGTTCAGTAGGTTATGGCTATCGATTGGCAGTTAGTTTGTCTGTAGGTACTCGAATTATATTTATTGCAAGTCCATGGATGAAGAAGCAGCCTAATGCACATGTTTCCACCTAAACGCACCTATTGCAGAGAGCAGAGCGCTCGGTGATAATTCGATTAGACTGTGAACCGGAGACCTGCTTTCGCCTCTTACCCAGACCCCGCGCCCGTGGCCGCACTAACCACCCGTGTTAGCCGGCCTTCCTTCCTGTCACCCTGCTGCGCCAACGCCATCTATTGGTCGTTATGAGCAAAAAACGAGCGCTAATATGTCGGCCAATGGCAATTAGCCCGCGGCGGTGGCCGCTGAGGGACTGTAATGGCCACTAATGGTCTGGTGACACGGTCCCAATGCGTTCTGCAGCACACCCAAACACTCGTAAATGGAGTCAGACTAGAATGAAACGGTGCCGGCCACTGCACAGATAATTAGGGGCGTGAAAACATCGTGCAATAATGATGATGAATCGTTTAGAGGATTAAAGTACGGAGGACGATTTTCTTGTCCAATCACATTTAAGCAGGCGGAAACGTGTTTGCATACATTTCAGCTATTTGTCCATGTTCCATCGCATTCGGCTCCTCTCGCTGAGCATTTACCTACATTTTGTTTGATTTTTTACCACGCCCTCTTCCCCCAGGCGAGCATAACTAAAAATGTTTTATTGATCCTGTTGCAGCACCAGCTGACGCGACCTCTCATCACCCTGGTGGACAACATGTTGAAGCTCTCTTCTCTGCGGGGCTCCCGCGGCGGACCGGGGGGCGGGGCCGGTGGGCCGCCGCCCCCCGGCGAGACGTCCGAGCCTCCTGCCGCGACACTAGCGCCGCCCAGCGGACAGAACGGCGACAGCCAGGTGAGCCCGGCGGGCCGCCGGCATCGACCGCCGCGCCGGCGGTGGCGGCAGCCATGGGTGTTAGCGGCCCCCGGGGCGGCGACGGCGGCGGCTATCGACTGCCGACCGCCGCCACAGCCGCCGTCCGCGACTGATGCAATGTTATGTCAGCGGCGGATGCTGCCGTCTGAAGGAATGGTGGGGGTTCAGCTGTATAGGCATTCACCTGAGGTCGGGCAAAATTGGACAGCAATCGCACCGCCATTGCGCTCTCTCATGTTTGTACTGTACCGGTTCGGTGCGCTTGAAGCAGAATTCTGTTGAAAACAGCGGTGTAATAAGTAGAAAGTGTTCGATACGCGAGGTATTTTTCGTGCTGTTATTTGTTAGGTACTGCGCGCCACACGAGTAGTCTTCTGTAGGGCGCCTACATTACTGCTTACATAGCCCGGCAATATTGCAATGTTGACAGCGACACTGTCGACCATACGGCAAATGATTACCTCGCGTTTAGTATTAACTAGCTCAAAGAGCAGTTACCACTTCCGTTCCCCTCCACACATCATTACACCCCGTCATATCCCCCATCCCCCATCCCTCACTCAATATCGGTATCGCACCCAATCAATTCCTCATTTCTGCGAACGGATTCGTCGCTTGACCGACCGGCAGTAGCGGTCACTCGTCGGCACATACCGGTGATTTGGCCCGTCGAAACAAACCGACGCCGGCCGTCAGCGAGCGCCATCGGCACGAAGGTCACTCGCTGTCCATCGACCTGACCTGGGCTGGCCCGGGACGGTCACTACCGCCAGCGGCAGCCCTGAATCAGCAATGGGAGCGGCTGGTGATCGACAGGCCGTGCCCCATCCAGGTGTCGGTCCCGTCACGACCTGTGACCGGCCGATGGCGCTCACCAGACGCCCACCGGACGCTCGCCAGGCCGCGCCTCGATTGATGAGGCGGTAGGATTATGGTCTGTGAGCGAACGCCAACGGAAATTGCATCGGCTCTGCAATTGACTGACGTGGTCAGGTGCTGGGTCGATTGAACTTTGTGAGTGATGGCCAGGAGCTGCTCGAAGCGGTGGCGATTGCTGTTCCGCAGGCGTATCTTTAAATCCAGACATGACAGGCTCTCAGTCTCTGTCGTCTGAGATCATTTCACGCGAGTGAGCAGGAAAAGCGAGTCGCCGAGTTGATTAACCTGATGTAAGTGATGTGCGGTTGTGCAGTCGCTCATGTGTGACCGTGTTCGCAGGACCGGCCGCCCGTCACGGGGGAAGAAGGGCCTGTGAGAGACTCGGAGCGGCTGCTGCAGAGGCAGAGAGCGCTCCAGGACGAGCTCACCAGGGTCAAGGCCGTGCTCAGCTCCAGCGCAAAGGTCAGCCACAGCCTCAGTCTGTGCCGCACAGACGGCGCGGTAAACATTGATCTCCATGGATCGGAACAGATTTACTGTGCCGTAATATTTAACGCAGGTTTTACAGCTCGATCTTCCGTATTCATTTCACTGCACTATTCAGCAGTTGGTTTAAGTTTAGCAGCACTGTAGAAGCTGAACTAAAACTTCCCGTCTTCATGCATTGAACGGCGTACTTCCCGTTATCGGATTTTCAAAAGCGCTCCATTTTTCACCGCATTACGGAGTTACCGACTGAGCTCCGGTGAGCCCGGCCGGCCGGTCTGCCGAGATTAGCCCGAGCTGCCGCAGCCCACAGCTCAGCTGCACCGGACAGCTCGTGAGAAGCCGGGAGCTGCAGGCGGCAGGTGCCGTGCTCGCGGGGCGTTTGTTGCCCCCGACCCGCTCATCGTTCTCGACAGGAGCGCGTCCAACCAACCGTTTTCGTGTCACCTGGCACACTCTGGCCCCGTCTAATTGACAAACCGCTACCACCACGCGCCGGAGTTATAATTTGATAGTTTCCCTGCGGTGGTCCGCACGGCTCAAGTCATTTTTAACCCGACACACCAGTCCGCCCGTGCCGCGGCGCACGGGACGGACGGGGAGCCTGAAGGGTCAAAATGGAGCCCTGTGCACTGGAGCACGGTGCACCAGTCCTGTGCACTGTGCAGGGCTGCAGAGGCTCTCTCCGTCGCGCCGGTACGCTCCTGTCGAACAGCCATTGCCTGCCGATGCCGCCATAAACTAACGAGCCGCTCACCTTCAAGGGCACGGACGGCGCGGGGCGAATCGCTGCCGGCGAGACGAGCCCGGACGAGCTTGTTTTTGCTCTCGGTAGCGAAAACAAACGGCGGACGAATGCTGATGCCGTAATTATCCCGGACTTCTTTGTGGGCTAATTCGCTATCCCCAGAACAGCTCAGCACTGATAATCCCCGTAAAAGCTCATTTAGATAATTCCTTAAGGCTCATGCCGTCATCTTGGCTTTTTGAGGGGCACATGAGCTGTCATATCTGGGCTGGCATAGACACGATTGCAAATGTTGATGGCACAAGACAAGAGGTGTAGATCGCTCGTAAACTATGACATAGACTATGATAGTAGCCTAATCAATGGTGAAAGAAGCAGTTAAGGCAACCATAGTTAATGACATAGGCCGGTGACGGTAATGTCAAAGTTTATGGTGACACAGCTCAAGAGCGACGTAGACATTGCATAGGCCCGGGGTAGCTGATGACCAAGACGAGCCATAGCTGGTAACATTGACTGGCGTAAGTGATGACATACGAGACGACAGGTCCTACTTGATGCCGTAACTGTTGTAACCTACCACCAATATGTTGGTGTTGTGGACTATTACTAGCCTGCCTCTGACGCCCGTTTCGTTGTCGGCAGACGCTGGACGAGACGGCCGCAGATAACAGTCGCCTGGAGAGGGAGATGCTATCTCTGCGGCAGCGACTGCAGGCGGCGCTAAAGGCCACCAGCCACGGCAGCTCCTACAGTAACGAGGTGAGGTCGGCGCCGTGACCTTGGACATGGGTCGTGTGTTCGAGTGGTGTGGTGATAAGCGGATTTGTACTTTTGTGTGTTTGGGCTGTATAATTTTGACCAATTTTGAGCTTTACTTTGACCTTGCCAACCCTCCACAACCCCCTAATTTATATATTCAAGCGTAATACATATCAGTCGCATGCCGTGAGCTGTCGAGCGTGCCTTGTAAAAACTGCGTTCCACATCTTTTCTCTGCCCCTCAATTTCGTGCTCTGGAGCCAGACCGTGACCCCGATAAGACACCCCTACCTCTTCCGTCTGCCGCTGGGTGCTTGCCATGAAGTCAGAGATTGTCCTCTGTAACTCCACTGCGCTCTCCCCTATAAGAGACAAAGCGTGCCCAGTGTCCACTGTCCACTGTCCGGCATAACCCCCACCCCTCTCCCCTCAGGTTCGCGCCCTGGAGTCAGAGGTGCGCCGCGTCCAGCGGATGCTCTCCTCCCGCCAGGCGGAGCGGCGCGCTCCCGGTCCGGAGGAGTCCCGCAGGTCCGGCTCCGTCCGCCGGCCCCCGGAGGAGCCGGCTCCGCTCCACCGCGCCGGCTCCGCGCGGCTCCCGGCCGGCTACGAGGCCCAGTATGACGAACAGGTAATGACGGGATAGTGAGCAGAGCGGTGAACGGGCTCAATTGTTTAGATGGAAGTGATTAGTGCAACCGGATAGCTAGGTAGATGAAATGGAAGAAAACGTCGCTTTATATGACGTATCTTTTTCTGATTAGGTGCTCATGCTAAGAACTTAACTACATAGACGTGCCAAAAGACATTCCTCGGCGTATCACTTGTGAACATAACTTTTGTTTTTGCGTACTAAATCAAATTAAGTAATTAACTGGCTATTTTGGCTTTTTAACAGTGCTTATCAGAAAGGAAGCAGAATAAAGGCGCAGTTTATGAGAAAAACAGCTCTTGAATGCAAACTATTTTTAACTTAATCCGGTAACAGCGTCGGGAGGTGGTTGAAAAGTCATCGACTGCGTTCAGCGGCTAGGGGGAACTCTCGCACATTTATGGTCCAAGTTTTTGTTCAGGGTCGGCGTGAAACGTCATTTCCGATTGATTGGTTCGCGTTTCTTTCGGTCCGCAAAACATCGCCGGACATGACTTTCCTTTTGTGTTCTGTGTCAGCTCCCTGTTGCTGTTTAACCCTATTCCTGGCGGGGGGGGGGCCTTTAAGGCCCCCTTCAGGTTTTTCTTGTGCCATTGCCAAACGCCGCAAGACTGAAAGCTCATACTCGGTGACTTTTTCTAAACATTCATTGCGCACATTTTGACAAAAAAAAGTTGCCGGGTCAGGTCAGGTCAGGTCACCAGAGGCGGTTTGGTGACCCTACCTCAGAAAAGTTTGCAATCACGCCAGAGCTAGAGTTTTTGACCGATCAATTTCTTCTCTTCAGGCTTTAGTTAGGGTACCAGTATGTGCAATTTGTATATCTCAGAACTTCCATATCTGCGACCTGAGGTCAGGCCAGACTCGTGACCTGAATATTTTCCCATAGGCATTGCAAGCCTATGGGAAAATATTGAAACGCCTCCTGCTTCGTGTAAACGAGTCAAAACCACCAAATTCTTTCAGTATTATGGAATATTATCTCATCGGTGATGATCCTGTTGCCGCTAATTGACAGGGGCACCGGCAAAGGTCATCTGAGGTCATGTGACGTCATAAATAGTTTTTCTGTCAATAAATCACGACATGATGGTGCTTAAGACTTGTAAGTGGTACCAAACTGCTCGCCTGGTCAAGGCGCGTCGTTTGCTATGCAGCATGACCATACCCCACAACCTCATTGATAAATGACCTGACCTTGACCTCAGGTCAAATTTCAAATTGACCTGTGAAGTTCATCACATACTTATTTCGCATCGCCTCGGCGAGAGCAACAAAAAATGTATTGGTTTTATGTCTCTATGTTTCTTAGTTTAAAAAGTTATATAGGTAACTAATTCCAAAACATTTTATCGTTGATGACCTCTGGTGACCTCAATATTGACCTGACCTGAAAATGTTTTATGTAAAAGTTGTAGATCTTTAAAAGATCTATCAAACGCCGTTTGCCGTTTGTCGCTGCGATGTGTAGTTTTTGAGATCTGAAGGGGGACCGAATCGGCCCCCCCCCCCCGCCAGTTTCTTGTCCCGGCGGAGCCCGCCAAGAATAGGGTTAAGGCAGGGCGAAATTTGTGTCCTTCAGCTCAGAACCTCCTGACGACAATGATAAGAAGCCAGACAGAAAATGGCATGGTCTGCTGATATCTGAATCATTGAACAATAAAATGCTAATTTGTACGCCGATGCACTAAATATGGCCAGGAATATGTCTTGTTTTGTTTGTTTTGTTGGGTTAGGCCCTTCGGTCTGACAAAGGCCTGGAAATGGGAACTACGATTAGGTAAATCAATGGCCAGGAGTTACGCTGAACCTAAATGCGAATGTCTCATGTCCTGAATCACTTTTATCATATTCAACTTGAAGCAAGTATGCTAGAATGTGTGCTGAGACGACTATATGCATTTCCATCACAACACCCACCCGTTACACTTACTGAGATAGAATTTGTGTCGTTTTCAGAGTCTGATGAACCCTCCGCTGGACCGGCACGCGCCGCCGCCGCCAGCGCCACCCAGCGGCCAGTACCACCAGCAGGCCGACAGGCGGCAGCACCAGTCCAACGGCGTGGTCCGCCCGGGTCCTGGCGTCCAGACGGCCTCACCTCCGGACTCTGGCGGCGCGGGTCGGCAGCAGCGACCCGGCAGCCGACGCGGACTCCCCAAGAGCGTGTCGGGTCCGCTGTCTGGCGACTACGACTCGTTGTACGACTCTCCGTATGACGCAGTTTACGACCGCCCGAATGGGTACGACCCGCCGCCGTATGTTCCGCCAGCTCCACCTCCGGCCGGAGCAGACCAGTGGCGCGGAGCCGACTGGCCCGGTCGCGCCGGTGGGGCCGCCTATCCGCCCAGCCGACACGACTGGAACCGTGACGGGCGCGGAGGCTCGGCCCGACACCGCGCTGGGAGTCAGCAGGATGTCCGCTCAGCGCTGGGCGCCAGTCAGCAGGACATGCGATCAGCGCTAACGGCTAGTCAGCAGGACATGCGGTCAGCGCTGACGGCCAGCCAGCAGGACATGCGCTCAGCACTCGCCGCTAGCTACCAAGCCTACCGTCGTGCATCTGGTGCATTAGCTGATGGAGGGGACAGCGAACGTCGTCTGCAGGCGGTCCTCCGCCAGTACCGCAGCCAGCAAGACCTGGGTTCCGCGGGAGATTCAGCAGGTCGATACGGTCCCTACCGCCACGCCCGGGGCCTATCATACGGCCAGGAGATGGCCGGGGCGTACTACCAGGAACGGGGCGGAAGGCACGGTTACGTCCCCGAGCACCGGAGGAGCTATTCGCACCTTCACGAAAGAGAAGTACCCGCGTACGAGCGTCGTCAGTCGGTGCATCACTTCGGCGAATCTTGCGAGATGGAAAGGAGTCTGCCTCGTACCCACGAGCCGCGCGAGAGGGAGCGAAGCCTCCCGCGGAGCTACGAGCCCAGAGAGCGAGACCAGAGCCTCCCGCGGGATTACCACCATCGCGAACCGGATCATAGCCTGCCACGAAACTACGAGCACCATCACAGTCTGCCGCAAGGATACAATCACGAGGACCATCACCAGGGTCAACCGCGGCCCCACGATCCTTCCTTCCAGTCTGGCAGGTCACAGGAGCCTAATTACCAGTCAATTCGACCCCACGAGCCTCCCCAACAATACACCCGACCTCCCGAACATCAACAGTACGCCCGACCACCGGAGCCCTCGCAGCAGTACTCCAGGCCACCTGAAGCTTCGCAACAGTACACCCGACCACCCGAGCCCTCCCAGCCGTATGCACGGCCTCACGATCCCGTGGCAGAAGCAGTGGTGACCCAGCCGAGTCCGCTGCGCCCCCTCGGTGACCCGAACGGCCGGCACCCGCCGGAGCCGTCCGATGTCGGCGGTGGACCGCTGCTTCACCGTCAGGGCGGCGCCTTCCAACCGTACCAGGCCGATCACGGACCGGGCAGGGGTGGTGGACAGGATCGGTGGCGCCAGAACGGTGGGCAGGACGAGCCAGTGTATGCGGCAGTGAGAAAGGGACCGTCTCGCGGTGCAGGAGAGACGCTACAGGACAGGTCACAGCAGCAGCAGCAGATGCAACAGGAACACCAACAGCAACAGCATCAGCAACAGCATCAGCATCAGCATCAGCATCAGCATCAGCAGGAAAAAGACTATTACGATCACCAACAGATGCAGCAAGTTGCACAAAGGCATCAGCAGATACAACAGGGCCAGCATAATAGCCACTACTATCAGCAGCAGCAGCAGGAGCAACAGCAATATCAGCATCAGCAGAATCACTCTCAACAGCAAAATAGTCACCACCAAAACCATTACAATCAGCACCCTCATCAGCAGCAGCATTTACCTGTAGACGGTTCTCCGTACCACCGTCCAGATGGGGAAGCTCCTTCGAACCGACCTCGCTCCCCTGTCCCTCCTGGCGACCGTCAGGCAGCCGAAGAACACTGGAGGACCAAGGGACCATCGGGACCGAACGGTCCGCACGGCAACGGGTCCGTCCACGGACCGCAATATTTCCCGGTTCAGCAAAACGGTCAGCAGTCAACCAATGAGTCTCAGAACCGAAGCCCGCCCTCTGGTAACGTTCAGACCAGCAGCTTCCAAGGCAACGGCAGTGATCCGGCGAATCAGCGCTCGCCGCAGCAGCCAACGCCGCAGTCAACACAGGTGTCCACATCGGAAACGGCCGAACAGCTTGAGGAGACACCAGAGCTCACCGCTCGTCCGGCTCCCACCGGAGCGGAATCTCAGCAGTCTACCGGGGGACGAACTACACAGGAAGAGACCAGCGCTGCGGGTACTGCCACAGAGGCTGCCACAGATGGCGCCACAGAGCCGTCCGGGGTGGACACGCGCAGTGTTGGTACTGTGGGACAGCGGGTGGCGGTCTGGGAGAGCAAGGGACCCGCTCCCCCAGCACCGTCCGGGCAGAGCAATGGGAACGGCAGCAGCACTGGGCAGCAGAGACAACAGACGGGCGGAGCGCAGGAGAGGCCCGAGGAAGACCAGGCTGAGGAGTACCAGACGCAGGAGGCCATGGGACCGCTCTACGGTTAGTGGAAAGCCGAAATGTGCTGTTCAATGTCTTCATAGTGTCAAAGATTTACAATGCTGACGGCCTGAAACATGTTTGAATCTTGTGCGTGATGCTTTCTCCACCCAGCCGATAATTTGCTGAACCAATCATCCGTTGAAGGCATTTTTCTAGGCATACGCACCCCCCTCTCTTTCGTTTAGCAACCATCAGTCATCACTCGTCTCTAATTCAGCAGCTTTCCCAGTAATTCCGTCATGATTGTCATCCTGTCCACAGCTCTGTTGGCTCGGGACAGGGGCTCGCTAGAGGTGAAGACCGTTCGCACCGTGAAGCGGGAGTCCCAGCAACGACAGCGGGAGAAGGGTCGCCAGGCGTCGCTCGAGAACGTACCCTCGGGCGGTGAGGTTCCGTCTGACGGAGAGGAGGAGGATCCACTGGTCACGGATCCGGTGCTCTCCCAGTTCCAGCGTGCCCTGTCACTGCCGCGAGGCTATGGAGGCCGGCGGGCGAGTGAGCAGGACAACTCACAGCAGCGGCACCATATGCTCAAACGGCTGGTGGATCAGGTAGGTTTGTATTCCGGGTCTGACGCAGTCGGCTTAGCTCCGTGTATTTTCTCAGGATTGGCTCTCACCCATTGATTGATGCATCAGCACTCAGCATTTTGTTTTTGCATGATAGCCGTTTCAATCATGCACATTGTTTCTTCACTTCTTTCTATGTTTGAGTAATGGATGGAAACTTCTCGCTAGATAACACGACACATATTTTCTGGCCGTTTTTGACAAACATGAACTGCATTTAGCACTGCTGTTCATCTCTGCACGTGCCACCACCAGTAGCGGAGGGAGCACTGTCACTCCTCTTTAGCACTCTTCACTCCACGCGTTCTTGCCGACCTCTAACCCAACCCTAACCCCGCGTGACCCCTGCACCTCTGACAGCGACGTCCTGCCGAGCGGCGACCCTCCGCCTACGAGCGGCTCTTCGGGTCCACTCCGGAGCTGCGGGCGGCAGCGGGGCCGGCGGGGGCGGCGGCGGAACGACAGGACCTGTCGCTGAGGCGGGTCCCGCGACGTCATCACACACTCTCCGTGGGCAGCAGGCTGGCTGTTCGGAGACTCTCTGATGCTGCCGCCGCGGTACGTCGACAGAAAGATATGGCAGCTGGAGAGGGGAGCTGAGCGGATCCGCGGAGAGAGAGCGTATAGTGTGGATGAGCAGCTTCAATTTTAGCATGCAGTACTTCATGTTCTTTTAGCACATGCACTAGCACCTCGCACACGCACGGCAATGAGCTGCAACCTGCCGAAAAGGCAGCTGACTTTTGCGATATTCAAGTGTCTAACTGTCCAAAAACATAGCTCCGTCGCTCACAAATGTGTTCGTTCAAATGTCGGCCACAAAAGCACCTTATTGGTCATACTTATGCGATATGTCGCTGTCTTCCACCAGCGCAATAATTTTTCTTAGTCACCAAATCCAACCATCAGCCGACCATCAGCTACCTACTATTCTACCTAACACCTCCTCCCCTCTGCGTGACAGCACGGTGCGTCTGCGGAGGAGCTTCCCACCGAGCCGCGACCTCCTCTGAGACAAGCTTCGAGTACACCGGACATCGTCCGAGCATCTCGACCCGGCCTGGCCACCAAGTATGACGAGGACACCATCGACAAGCTGCTGGCCCGGCCGCAGAAGATCCGTATCCCAGAGAGATACGTACCCGAACTGGTCAGTAAGACTCGTGGGTTGAAGGATTTAAATGTTGACCGTTGTGAGAGTAGCTAAAGTTATAATTTCTGGATAGTAGCTCGGGATATTTCATCCATCTTGACCAGGTGTCGTCTTCTGTTCTATGGAAGGAGGTGGAGCCGATGTCCGTTGAGGAGCGGCTGCAGCGGAGTAGGAAGGCCGCCTCCATCAGGAAGATGCTGACCCAGAGTACCGGCTTCCTGGACACCATTGGATCGCAGACAGGTGAAAAAGGTAGCGTATAGCCACACATTCGTGACAAATAGACAAACGGCAGGCGGCAGCGTAGGCAACTTACATGAAATAACTACTCGTAATAGATCACCCATGTCGCCTTATTTTTGCAGATTAAATGTAATCATAAATAAGCATAGTGTCAAAAGATATAAGTGAACTACAAGATATTATGACGTTTTTTGGCTCTCGTCCCATTAGGGCTTCAGGCTTGCAATAATACCGTCAATATCATAACAACTGATAATCCGAGACACTTGGCCATTCATAAAAATGAAAATCAGGCACTTTTCACTCGTAAAAAGACGTGCATATCAGTCTATATATATGTGACACTCTTCCTCGTCTCACGTTCCTCAGAGCCGCGGGTGAGGCCGGGAGTAGCGGCCACGGACAAGTTGCAGAGGGCCCACCTGCTGCAACTGAATGAGATCCTGGCGAGACAGGTCACTGAGCAGAGCAAGCGAGTCGCAGGTACGGCTATGGAGCGGTCATTGTACAAGATTCTTACAGATAGGTCGTTGTAGACAACAGTCACTCTAAAGAGACTCGTTCTTGAAGAGATCCGTCACTTCCCAAAGGCAGCAACTGTGCAGTGCATGCATTCATATGCAGTCTCACCCCTTTTCTTATCGATTTTTTTTTAAAGTCAATTGCAGCAATCTTGTCATTTGGTTAATTATTTCAAAGTGCTTGTTTATGTGTTTGAAAAGTTGTGCTTGGTATTTTATAGGCATGGTATCCATATAACGTTTTATCGATTTTACGTCCCGATTTTGTTATGTTTACTGATTTATTTACCTAATAACGTCTATAGCACCGAGTTACTGTTCGCTGTTATATTTCGAAGCTCGGTCCGGCCGGTATGACTGCTATAAGCTTGACGATCATTTGCATGGACGCTAGCATGTACATTTTGTAGTTTTTGTTACAATTTGTTCAGTTTCGCACCACGGTTCTCATTTTTTTCAGCGGCCAACAGTTCACCGGAGTGAATGCACCGTCACCCAGCAAGCAAGTGACATTCAAAGATACACTGCCGTTCAAAGGTATCCATCGCCATTCTACTCTCCATATGAGCTCGTATTTAAACATTTCACTTGTTTACGAATCGCCCCAGGCATACGCTGCATAATGTAATAAGGTCAAATCTGATCGGACTGATAAGGAACTTGCTCATTCCTAATATCTCAGTTCTCTTTCCGTGTTAGTGTGCTGTGATATTGGACCGACTTAGCATACTGACAGTGACCTATCATTATTTCAGTGGAGGCTATAGCCAACATGGAGGCACCAGCGCCGGAGACCGCGGCCGAGTCCCCGCCCCCGGAGCCACTACCTGTTGTGCAGCAGAGGGAGAGCTGTCTGACCTGAGGTCAGGTCAGGTCACCGGTCTTTAAAGAGTGTATCAGCTAGAGTGCTGTCTGGTGGGTGGCCAGTGCGCCGTGACCGTAGAGTTATTTGAAGTGAAGAAGGATGTGCATTGTGCATGACACAAGTTGTCTACTGGGACCCGATTCAGACATTGCTTACGAAATAATGAACAGAGTTGATTTGTATTGACTTTGTGACGTGGTTCAGTGTTGCACCCGTTAGACGTTTAATTAAGGAGCCAACTTTATCAGGCAGGCAGCCAGCGACATCGTTCTGTATCAGGAAACAGTCTAGGGTACACGCTGGCCCCCTAGCTAGACGCTCATGCGTGTTTAACATTGTCATGGGATGAATTAGTCCATGTGAAGCAAGCACCGTTGACTTCGTGACATATCTTATCGATGTCATGAACCGCCGTTTAGAAGGAACCTTTGTCGTCACATCTAGGAATAGATATATTTCTGTAGGTGGTGTACATATACCTATGTATGTGTTGTTTCTTTCCGCTTTGTTTACATATCGCAGCAGTACGAAACCAGACATATCGATCGTTAAATGCTATTGTTGCGCCGTTAGATGGACGGAATAGCTTAATGTGTGTTGTCCAATGCGTTGTGAGCAGTGTAGGGAATGACATAATCGAACATAATCGAAACCAATACATATCTTAGACGTATCCACGCGACTACTTAGCGTTACCAGTTTGCTGCTAGGATCTGAATTCAATGTCATTTGCATTTGTTGTCTGTTACTAGGATAAATGTTTTATACCTGTTGCTGTCGGGCCTCTACCTGCCATTGGCTTGACCCGTGCTTGTGAACCGACTTGGTGTATGTGCGTAATTCGGCATATAGCACTTGTAAGTGATATAACGCAATATCTTCGATGTGGCTTGAGTTGAAACTTGTCGACACCAAATATTGAGTTTTATTGCGCTATGAAATATACCTTTCAAGAATCGTGAAAGCCATTTCTCCTGAATGTCTAATTATCTAATCGCAAAAAAAGTTTCCGATCGACGGCATGACGCTGGTTTCCGTGTTGAGCAGCCTAGCATTTGTTTAAACTTCGCCAAGCCTGATGAAAGATAGTGCATATTCTAATTTCCGAACCGGTCGTAGAAAGACGGAGAAAGCGGCAATTGAAAGCTCTCGACAAGACGAACGTTTGGAGCCCAACATTTTTCGTTTAGGTAGATCAGAGGCCAGGACCAGGTCAGGTGAAGGGTACAAAATGTAAGCTTCTACACGATTGGATTTGGAGCGTAATTGGCACAGAATGGACTGAGATTGATCATACAAAACTTTGTGTTGCATACAATGTCATGCAAAGGCTATTGTAGGTATAGGTCAGGCCAGGTCACCAAAAGCGAAATATTGCATAGCAAATTGCCAAGAGCCATGTGCGACACATGCTTTATGGGTCACTTTATGCAAATAATTCAATCGGTACACTCAATGAGTGACCACATTTGGATGAATTTCAGGTCAAGGTTTAACCCTCGCCGGCACAGGCCATTTTGCGTCCTTCGACGGCACAATGGAGGGGGGGGGGGGGGGGTACGACCTCGCGTTTGGCTCCTGATCGAGCTAGAGATTCGCGGAAAAACGAGCATGTTGCCCGTCACGAGAGGAAGCCGATGATACCCAATTTTAAGGTCCTAGGTCATCGGTTGACCTTCCAGGTCAGGTCAATGTCCCAAAAGTCGGGACCTGTTAGAACGTCGTAAAGTGTGGCTACTATGGGGTTTCCGGGGTGCTTTAGGGGGTTTAGCGGGGTCCACAGATGATTTAGGCCAGGTCGGGTCAGGTCAGGTCAGGTCAACTCAACCAGTAGGGGTCCTGCCGGATAGTTGTAGTACGTGCCAACCGCTTGTAAGTTTTTTAGTTTTCTTTTCTTGTCAAGAAAAACGCAAATTTTCATCGATTTCGGACGCAGCGGATGAGGGCATAAATGCTTCCGGGTCTGACAGTGCCCCTTCCCCAACCCATCCCACCCCACCTCACTCGCACACCTGTCCCGAGATAAAATTGTAATGGGCAATAGGTGTAGCTTTGACAGTGACAACTGACACACCACTGACACACCAAACACCGTTCGGCATTCCAGCCAGAAACGGACTCACCTCTTCAAGATCCGAAGTAGTACGACAGACGAGTTTGTCAAGACGATCTGTCGTGATGGTCTTTACCTCTGGTCCGTCCGGTATCTTCAATCCTGATCCTGACGACCGATGTGAAAAGTCTCAAAGTCTCAGCGCGCCCAAGACCACGCCATTGTCAAATCAATCGCGAAGTCCCACGCCGGGGCTCGGAGATTTCCATTGAAAAACACTGCCAGGGCCCGCCGCACGGTTCGAATAGTATCCAGGGCAGGGTAGGTTATGGTATCCAGTCCTCTGTCCTCCATCTTGCACTGCGCAGCATCAGCATCAGTAGGTACCGGACTGATTCGTCCTGAATGTCAAATCTTCGATATCACGAGGCACGATGCACTCAGCCACAATGGCACCGTCGTAGGAACTGGCATGCACGATTCACGTGACACTTCGTTCGCATGGTCCCATGTGACCTACAAACAAGCCCAACATGTCAACAACCCCGCGCCCCGCTCGTGAACCGCCAAGATGCCCCGCGGCGCGGTGCGGCCGCCGCGCTGCGGGCGGCTCGTCTTTATTAGTTCTTCAACTTGTCGCCAGAGGGGAGACAATGACAGCGGCTAATTACCGTCGGTCGGAAATTGCATGATAAGGAATAACCAGCAACTGTGTTCGGCTTATGGCTCTTTTGGCCCTCAGGACGCCGACAGTGTCGAACGATTTAGTTCCCGTATGATGTTTAATAAAAAAAAAATAATGAACGTGTTGATAGACGATAGTTACCAAGGTAGGTTTGCATTGGACATTGCATAAAATGATAAATTAATGTAAAGTATGACATTATCCAATAGCAACGTATGTTCATATACCTACCTAGGTCAGACGACTCATTCCATCCATTTTTATCCTCTCCGTCGACCTATTGCCTACATACATCTTTTTTTTGCAAACGGTCCGCGCCGAGCGAGGGGGGCAGGAGACGTTTCGCCCTCGACGTTTCGCTCGTAATTGAGCTAGAGTTTTACCGAAAAAGGGGCGTGTGCGCCGCAACGAGACGCAGCTATTGGCACCCGATTTTAATGTTTCAGGTCAACTGGTGACCTCTTAGGGCAACGAAGGTAAGGCCGGTAAGGGTTCGGTAGCTTTGGTAAACAGGTTAGCGCGGACGCCGATTGGGCTTAGTTTTGACTTTCTACTGTATTTAATGCTTTATTTATCATTAAACCTGGACTAGCGAGAGTCGTATCTGAATAAGAATTTTTCGCTCTACAATATTAAATATACTATAGGTTAGTATATATATTATATAGTATATATCAGTAGGTTACAATATAGGTTACAATATAGGTTATTTTTATTGTGATGGCATCACAGACTTCACCGCCAAACCCAGTAAAGTAGACATGGTGTCGTGTCCCCGGTGATTACTTGCCAAGTTTCTTTGGCATAGTTATAACTCAAAAAGTAAAACACCTTTGAGTGCAGCGACTACCTATACGATGCTACAGAAAATTGTATGGTCTACGGAATGGTCCCCATCACTTAACAATTAATCGTAGAATTTCGTCGCCAAACTCTCGTATATTCGTATGTCCGCCTCTCTATGGAGTTTGGACCGTAATGCTGGCTTATCTTTCAAAATATTTTTACTGTTTTCCACGCTGGCATATTTCACTTAAAGCGACTCAAAGTAATAACAAGTAAAAAAAAAAAACATTCAATGATGAGCGTGGTTGCAAGGCGCTCAGAGACGGCCCGGGCAGCGACTAACTGCCGGGCCGGCCGGCCGACTAACCCAGCTGCAACCGCCAGCTGCGCCGGCCGGCTGCAACCGCCAACCCAACCGGCCCCGGGTGGCTAGAAGCGGGGGCCAGTCACGGGTTGGCCCGGATTCCGAGATGCTGCTGTGGTCCGATATGGGCCCTACCGATCTTTTCAATCACCATTTTAGCAGATTCAGCTCATTTTTAGACGGTATTCGGCAGACGGTATTAGGGTCTATTTGTCATTTGAGGCCCAGGCAGACGAACTTCGGACGCCTCAAATGGGCCCCCAGATTTGAATGGGGGACACGAGTCCGTATGCCCCTCCCTCCTCACCCCTGTATGCGCCTTGTTTTTTTATCAATTAAAAATGTGTCTTTACTTTGGGACAAGTTTCGAGACTAATGACATGGGAAGGGATGATGCGAAATTGCTAGCACTGTTTCTCGGTCTGATTTTTTTTTTCAAGAAAATCACACACCTTTGGTGACATTTGAGCTGAATTAAATTATTTCGATAATGTTTCCTTAAATAAATAAAATGGACATAGAGGCCAGAAAGTCACTTTGATGTATATGACAAAATAAAATATTTTGCATATTTATTTAACGACAGCGCTGTCAAGTCCTTTCCGATTGTTGGTCCGTGTTGTGGCGCACCAGCAATAAAATTTTGCAATCATGGGTCGTATGCACACACCCGGGTGAGCTAATTTTGTTTGTTATAAATGCGCAAAGTTGCTTGTCATATTTTTTTCTGAATGATTTTCGTTATAATTTATTTTCCGCCTATTGTTTGATAAGTTTGTTATTGTGTGTGCGTCACAAGTGTATTGCATCCTTTCGACTGGGAGATACAGGTTGATTTGCATTTTGCAAAGTTTTCATTGAATGTAATTTCTATAAATTAATTCTGGTTTAAAATTTGCCTCTTGAAAGGGTAACGGGCTATGCTTTTACTGTTGTGCGGGTTCTACATGAAGTATCTCAGTTGGGCAAACTAGACTTTTGGAATCAAAATATGGAGGCATCAATAATTTGATTCTGGTGGGAGGAGCCATGACCAAATATGGGCATGGAATCAATTTTTTGATTCATTTGGGTACACTTTTGACTTCAAATGAATCGTTACGGTTGAAAAAAGGCCCATGACGGTGAGATTTTTCTTTTAAAAGGTAGAAAAATGTGGTAGGTTTGTAAAAAGTGTTACCTCAAAGCTAAGAAATTGTCCCTTTGGCCTTGTGAATGGGAAGAAGACAGAGCCACTGTCCATCACGTAAAAGCTGTTTTGAGGAAATCACACTGCATGTTATTTTTGTGTCATGAATCACATACTAACCAATCAGTATTTGTGTAAAATGGCAAAATGAAATTTTTAAACCCCTAATTATCATTGTTGTAGTGCTTTTATATTATTTATATGGTTTTTACCTGTTGCTTCAGTTTTTGTATTCTTGACATTTAAAAATTGTTAATTGTTATCAAATGTAGTGAAGGTAAAGTACAACAATGCTATAGGTATCAGTTGTGGTGCTGAGGATACCACTAAATGAGAATAATAGCAAGATAAATGCTGTATTCTTGCAAGTCATTGTTGCCTATCTGTTAACATTACCTGTGAATCAAAATAATGATTAGCCAGCTGATGGGGAATCAATATTATGATTATCTGTTTAAAGTGAATCAATTCCTTGATTGCCTTTCACTACCTATAGAATTCAAATTGTTATGGATAGGAGCAATATTATTTTGCTTAGTAGATAGTTCAAGCATTTCTGTTCAAGATCAGGCATGCTCCTTCTTGAAACACTCTCTTATTTTTATGTGATTGGTAAGTTAGAAATGGTCTGCATTTATGCCCAAAAGGAATCAATCTTTTGATGCCTCCATATTTTGATTCCAAAGGTCTAGTTTGCCCAACTGATCTGTCCCGTCTGTCCCGTAGCTCGGTAGAGCACCGGACTCCCAGTAGTGAGAGCCCAGGTTCAAGTCGCTCCGGCGCTTGATATTTGAGACTCCTGACGGGGATGGTCTGCAGTTGGTGGGAGCAGCCGCAGCTATGAAGTTGGTTGAGTGGGACAGGCTGTGTCCGGCTTTGAAGGGCAC